ATTTTCTCTCATTTTATTGACTATCTTTTCACTTTCTTAATAGTGTCCTTTGACACAAGAATTTTTAATTTTGATGAAGTAAAAATGAGTTTTGAGATGTTATTAAAGTTTAGTTTGCAAAACAATGTTAAAAAGCCAGCACCTTGGGGCGCCTGGATGGCTTAGTCGGTTAAGCGACTGCCTTTGGCTCAGGTCATGATCCTGGAGTCCTGGGATCCAGTCCTGCATCGGGCTCCTTGCTCAGCAGGGAGTCTGCTTCTCCCTCTGACCCTCCCCCCTGTCATGTGCTCTCTCTCTCTCAAAAAAAAAAAAGCCAGCACCTTGTTTCCTTAAACATATACACACACACAAACTACAGCAATGCCATAAAACTGTTCATCTTCTTTGTCAGAGGTGGGTTAGGGTTCCGGCATACCAACCAGAAATCTAAGCTAAGATACCACTGAAGACAGCAAAAGGAGATACATGACCTGTCTAAGGACACAGTTGATGGGTGACAAAGCCAAGGCTTGAACCTAGGTCTTCCAACCTCAAAACAGATATTCTTTCCACTACTGCAGTAGTTAGCACAGGGCCTGCTCTAGTATGAGAGGCAATGTACTAAGTAAGCTAAGAGCACTGGATTAAGAAAGAATGGGAAGCCAGGTTCTGGAACTGTAACTAACTCAATGTCTCATCTTGGGCAAGTTGCTTCATCTTCCTCTCTTCAACTGTGTCCATGTCTATAAAATGAGGATGCTGGAAGAGATGAATTTCAAAATCTCTTCATTATAAACATTTTAGAGAAACCACTATTGATTAAGCAGCACAGTTATAAACCAAACAAAAACAAACAAAAAACGCTTAATATATCAGAACCAGAAGGGATTTAAAAAGTAATCTAAGAGGGTTCTCAACCTGGAAGTAACTGTTAAAATGTAGAGAAAAGAAATAAATAAACAGCTATGTGTAAAAACAAGCAGCTGTCCAGGTTCCACCTCCAGAGAATCTGATTCAGGTTTGGGATGAGGTCCAGAAATCTGTATTTTTAACTAAAACCCCAATGGAGTATGGTGCCTTTATATGATATATGTAAAAATGGAAATGGAAAAAATATGTATCTAAGGAAGCTGAAGCCCAGAGTAACCAGCTAGTTAGTAGTAGCTATATATATATTTTGTTAAGTGCTTACTATGTGCTAGACATAGTGCCAGACACCTTTTAAGGTAAATATTATTATTCCCACTTTACAGATGAGGAAATCGAGATACAAAGAAATTTATTAATTTGCCTAAGAATACATTTCTGCTAAATGGCAGAGCCAGGACTCAAAGCCAGGCAGATAGGCTGGCTCCAGAGCCTGTGTTCTCAACTTCTAAAATATAAAAGCTCTGTTTTAGGATCAGGATGACAGTCCAGCCAGGAGACAGAAATGAAGTTAAACAGGTATGAAGTTAAAAGGGTCTGAATACAACTTCTAAAGAACACAGTTTAATACCACATTTTCACAGCCAAAACAATTTTAATAGCCTAAACAAATCCAGCCAGGAGACAGAAATCCATGTACAAGGTTAAAAGGATTTGGATATAGTTCTGGAAAGCATGGTTTAATACCACCTGTCAATTTTAATAGCTAAAACAATTAAGCAAGCAATTTTCTTTACAGCCTGCTATGTAGAACAAAATGCTTTGATGTATTTTAGGCAAAATAACTTACTGCAATGATCTAAGTTATTCTGTGATGGAGGCTGGAAGATTACATTTGCATACCTATTTTTAAGATCAGGAAACTAGAATTGCTTTGTTCTCAGTTTCATAGGAGCAGAAATTCACATCTGCTTAGGGAAAGCTAGAAGCACACTGAAGCACATTTGCATCTCTTTATTACATTTCTTCATGGCAAGTGAAACTACAGCTGCAGGAAATAAAAACCCTCCCGAAAAAAAAAAGACAAATAAAATTAAAGAGATTGTAAGATAACAGCCTCTCAATCCCGAAGAGCAAAAGCTTCTCTATTCATTCAGATCCTGTTCCCCTGAGAATAACATTTTCCCCATCTTCTCTTCCACAGTACCTTCAGCTTTCAGACAACTAGAGGCAGTTTCTCTAGACTGAGGGGGCAGACCTGAGGGGTTTTTTTCTCTGCTAAATTTAATGTTGCAAGTACTTATTCTGTGTTGATTGCCTCAGAGAACTATAAGGACCTTTCATGGGAAACTGGACAAATACAAATTGGTAGAAAAATATAAGACAGTATGTCATATAAATGACAGCTTAATTCCCATACACAATAAATGCTAGAGAATTCAGAGGAGGAACAACTTGATGTAAAGCTAAAATGAAGTTTTCCAAGAAAAAGCACCTAAAAAGATCTTATTTTCTATCCTCTATGTCCCTCACACCTTGGTTAATTCCGTCAAGTGCTCCTTTGAGAGGCCTTTTCTCTACTGCTGCTACTCAAGTTGGGGTTCTCATTGCCTGGTCATTCTATTTTTATAGCTGTTCACAAAGAACACTTAACCAATATTGTACAATTTAATATTTACAAGTCCATAATACATATGGGAACCCACATTATTTACCTAAGGAAATTTAAGTTCAGTAACATCATGTAACCTATCCAAGGCCATGTGGATTTTAACAAACTATACTAGAACTTTTTGTCTTTCTTTTTATAATAAACCCTACACACTAGAATGGTATAAGGCCTTTTTCAAAGCTTTTAATTTCTACCTTTCCAAACTAATTTTCTGAAAAACACTTTATATAGCCTCAAAAACTTTCAACAGCTTCCTACTCCAAGCAATCCATGCCCTCTTTAATCTGATTCTACCTTCATATCACTACAGGTCTCTTAGAGAACAGTCCAGTCAACTCACTACCTGAAACATCAGGCACCATCGGCTCAAGGAAATTCTTAGGTAGTATGCCATCCTTCTCTCCCAAAATAAGGTCCCAGCTCCACTCTCAGACATGAGGTATTCCCCTGGGGCCCTCACCCCCTTATCAATTAGCTCTCAGGGATCATTCTCTCTCTCATTTCAATTTCTGTAAAAAGCACACATCTGAATACACCAAATACCTTTAATATTTGAGGTACCTCTGTGTCCTATAATCAGCTATACTGAATACTTTCTGACAGTAGGATTCTTGATTTTTTTCCCTCTGCTATTGCATATATGTATGTAACATGTGTTACAGAGCTCATTCATGTATATCACCTCATTTGATTCTCCCCAAAACCGTACTATTTCAGATGAAGGTAAGCTTTGTGAGGTTAACTGACTTGCCAGTCTTCATACAGTTTGAAAGTAGCAAAGCCTGTATCTTTTGATCCTCAAATCTAGGTTCTTTGAATAATGCAATGATGCCATATATTCTTCAGTAAAGAATGCCCATGCTTAATGTTCGCTGGTGATGATCCAAACGGAGGAGACAGCAAGAACAGTCAATGGGACAGGATAAGCATAGGCTGTGAGATGACCACCAGCAGAAAGGCAGTATTTATGCATGAAAGTAAACATCAATTCCCAATACTCTCCCATGTCTTGAAGCAATTTACCATTCCAATCCCCAGAACTTGTTCCCCTCTCTTAAAAATGGTTAGAGTTGAGAACCATGTGATTCAAAACCAATGACACCCAAAAACAGAAGCAAAAAGACCTGGATCTGAACCCCTCAATATGATCACATATTTGTTTCTTAGGCACCTATCACGTGTTAGGCACAGGATGTCTGAAAGCTGCTTTCCATTACAGCAAAAAATCCTACTTACTATATTAATAGCCCCCCACGCTTAACATTTCTCATCAAATTGGCCCATGGTCCTACAATGAGAGAACTGGAAGGGACTAAGGGTACTTTAGGCTAAGTCCCTCACTTTACAGTGGCAACATAGGGAGAGCAAGCATATTTCATGGTCACACAGCTAGCTAATTAGAGGCAGAACCAATACTAGGACCTACATCACCATACAATTGTTTCTTCCAAGATGCTCTGCAAAGGGCAAGAAGAGCCAACTGAGCACAGTTTTCTTTTTTTCTTTTCCTTTAAGCCTCGTTGCTAGGACCGCGGTTTAAAAAAAAAAAGAATGGATGGGCGGAGAGGGAAAGGCTAACTAGAGCAGGCAGCAAGCTCATGAATCCGAGTCACTTACTGCACTTGGTGGCAGGCAGAGGGGCAAAAAGAAGGGGAAGGGTGAAGAAGGAGAGGGAAAAACAAAATCTTAGAAGCTTCCTGTCAGCTCAGTAAGGTAAGTAAATACTCAAGTAAATTCAGTATTCGGAGTATCGTGATAAAACGCCTAGAAACTTCAGTAAGCAAAAGGTCAAGGAGCACTTGGAAACTGTAGCGAAACCCAGCGTGGTGGTCGTGATGGAGAGTTTGGGGACTACTGACTACGAATAGCTGCGTTCATTCCTTCGGGCTTGTTTTCCCCGTCAGTGAAATGGGCACATCAACTGTGGCCCCCAGCACCTCCGAGGAAAAGTGACGGCTGCACTGAAATACAGGAATAATCAAATTATCCTAGGAAGCTGTGATGGCCAGCGTTAAGGACCAAGCACACTACCAAGAAGAAAAGAAGGCCTGAAGAGGAAAGAGGAAAGAGGTGGGGAAAGACCGTACTACACGCGCCGGTAGGGTTCCGAGGGAGGACCAGAAGAGGTCTACCCGCTGAGAAGCCACACAAGAAAAGGGGGGCGGGGATGGGAAGGTGGGTTCGCCGCCTCCCGGGCCTCCCCAGGTCTCGGCTGTCCCCAAGAACCGGCTCCTCACCTTGTCCAACAAGCCGCTGCGGCCACTGCCTGTCCCGCAGTTGGGACCACCGCCGGCCCCACTACCGCCTCCGCCACCACCAATCCTCCCGCCCTGTGTAGACGCCGCCGCCATCTTGTCTGCCTCTGCGTCTCCCTCCCCTCCTACTTGTCCGAAGCCGATTGGCTGAAGCTGACGGCGTGACGCGCCGCCCGGAGTCCGTCGGGATCCGTAGTCCGGGGCTGGCTGACGAGAGGCGACCAGCGGAAGTGGCCGCGGGGCTTGCCGGGACTTATAGTAGTTAGAAGCAGCGTCCACCGGTTGCTGCCTACATGGCCTGCCGCCGCTTCGCGGTTACCAAGGAGCGGAGAAGGTAGTGGTAGGCGCCACCGTGGAGCCGCTCCGAGATCCCCGGGAGTCTCGCAGGCGCGCATCTCGCGTTGCCGGGACGCAGCCTTTGCGGACGCCTCGGAGGCGGAAGCGACGACGGAGGCAGGTGCGGCTGGAGACTTAGTATGAGTGAGGGATTAGAGTCTCCGTTGCCCTAAAAGTTTCCAAAGGGCCGCAGGAGCTCGTTCTTCATCCGTCCTAGCCCTTTTACAGCACTTACTGGTTATTTTCTCTGGTGACTGTCAACTAAGGTGTTAGTAATGTTTTCGTGTTACAGAGAACTCACATTTGCTTAGTGTCTACCGTCTGAAAGGCTGTGTACCGTGTACGTTTATATTCATCTTCTCATGTAGTCCCTTAACAGCCCAGTCAGAAGAGAAAACTAAGAAATTTACCCAAGGCCGGATAGCATGTATCAGAACCTGGTTAAGAAGCCAGGGGGTTTTAATCCCCTGGTATGTTCCCTCTGCCACTCTGTTTTTAATCGTTTTAGGATGTAATAGTATTCTAGATTTTCATTAATTCATTTTTTTCCACGAATTTTTTTTTTTTTTTTTTTTTTTTTTTTTTTCAAGTTTTTTTTTTTTTTTTTTTTTTTTTTTTTTGAGAGAGAGAGAGTGCGCGGGGCGGGGGGAGAGAACTTAAGCAGGCTCCACGCGCAGAGCAGAACCCGACTCGGGGCTCGATCTCACACGGGACTTGATCTCACAGGGGTCTTGATCTCACCACCCTGAGATCATGACCTGAGCTAAAACCAAGAGTCGGCTGCTCAACCACCTGAGCCACCCAGGCACCCCTTTTTCACAAATATTTGTTGAGCACCAACCAACATTGCTCAGAAGTACTAAGGGGTACTGGAAGATCAAGAGAGACCTGTTCACTACTCTCTTGGAACATCTACTCTAGTGACCTAGAGTTATCACATGACGGGATTATATTATACCATGATCTCTTACATTGAATCACTTGTTTGTTTTTTAATCACCATAAATACCTAAGTGTCAAAATATTGAATAAATACTGAGTGCTTACTATGTAGCAGTCACTCTTCTGGGCACTGGGGATATATTCCTAAATAATAAAATCTAGGCAAAATACCTGTCTTGGTGAAGCTAACATTCGTGTGATAATAATTATCACTACTATTAGATGGGATTTCTTCACTTCTGTAAGTCAATCCAGTCAGATGCTCCAATAGCTTTTTGCTGTTTATCTTCTATACTATCCTCATTTTTCAAGACCCAGCTCTAATGTCACCTGCTCTGAAACCTTTCCTGATCCTTATTTTTTCCTTCTTTGCAGACAGAATGAAGAACTCCATGGCATTGTGTTTATGGTTCAGTTTAGTTCAGTAAACACTCATTGAACCTCTTCAATGGGCCAGATCCTGTATGAAGTGCTGGGAATAAAGATATAGGTAGGACCTAGGCTTGGCCTTTGAGGGGCTCACAGCCTGGGATTGGGGGTGTGAGGAGTGGGGAACAGACAGGTAAGCAGGCCATTGTACTACAGTGTGGTAGAGTGTTTCCATTAAGAGGTGGGCTGAGATGGTAGCACAGAGAAGGGTCAACCTGAGGAGGGGGAGATACAGGAAAGCTGTCTGTATGAGTCAGGCAAAGAAGAAGTGGGAGAAGTGTCATAGGCCAAAGGAATGGAGCAGCACATGTATGCAAATAAGCACCATTACTCTGTGTGTGTGTTGGAGCTGGGAGACATTACAATTAGACTGAGATTAGCTTCTTCAACTTTGAGATAGAGACCCGAGGTAGCTGAAGCTAACTAGGCAGGCAGCCTCTAAGTCTGGAACTTGGACTTTCTTTTTTCCACCATGCAGATAAAGTTCATACTTTCCTTAGGGTTACTTTCTAGACAATGTAACATCAGGATTGTGTGCCCTTCCTAGCTCATTAATTGTATATCCACACCTTCTCACCTGGTATTCTTCATTGGGAACTGGAATTTCCCAGTGGATTGTGTCCGAGTCTATATGCCCTCCACAAGTCTGAGTCTGATTCATCTTTTATATATGTAGAGCAAATATCTTTTCCCAGATTGTGTCTTATCTTTCAATTCTATCTTTGCTGTTTTATCGTAGATTTATTTTGTATTAATGATCCTATAAAAGATCCTTCCTGATTTGTGATTTGCACATGTTATTTAATCACTCTAGCCCCACCCCATCATCACAAAATTACTCCCTTGTTCTACCTTCTTCCCATCCATGTTTCTGTCTCTATCTCTACATCTCTAGTTATCTATTTCTGGGATCTTTAGTTTTGTGGGGTTTTTTTAGGCCCCAGCTGAGACACATTTTGGAGGCAAGGGTCATAGTAGGATGTAACTAATGAGAAAGTTCAAGAGCTCTGAATGACAGGCTAAGAAGGAGTGTAATATCTGTTTTACAGGTGAAGAAACACAAAAAAAAGGAAGTCAAGGGGTCTCTCCCAAGGTCAAAGATCAAGTAAGTACTATGCAGATCAGAAGCAAGGTCCTCATATTCTGTAAGTTACTGAAGTCTTCTCCCAACAGTCATCATCTCTGACATTTCCCAGCCAGCTATTTACTCATTCATTCACTCACCTATGTAGCAGGTAGGTGTGGTTGGTCACAAGAGAGATTTCCTGAAAGACAGATTGACTATTGATCTTTCCCCATCCATCCATCCTTCTATCCATTCACCTTCCTGACACATTTTTAGTGAATTCTAGGTTCATTGCTAGGCGCTGGAATTACATAGGTGAATAAGATATCATAGGACCCATGGCAGGTGAGAAATTGGTTAAGGGAAACAATTATAATAAAGTGATAAGCACTATACTAGGAGAAGTATAGGGTATTGTAGGAACATATAGGAAGGGCATTAACCCTTTTGGGGATGGTAACAGATCAGGAAATTCACAGTGCCCTGTGTTGAACCAAAGGAGATACCAACATCACCTATTTATTCCACAGATAATTGTGAATCTGTTATGTGCTAGGTGCTGTGTTAGGTACTGGGAATAAAGAAATGAACTCTATAGGTACTCTCCTTCCTTTAAAGGAGTTCAGAGTCTAGTTAGGAAGATCAGAAATATGAATAAGGACCCTTGGGCCCTGGGAGTACATCATATCCTTCATTTGGCTCACACATGTTTATGGGTTATTTCCTTTGAGCATTCCAGAGGTGGAAGAGAGATGGTGAATTGGATATGTTTCCAGACTTGGAGGTTCACAAACCTTTGAAGGAACCCCTCCATGATTATTAGTAACTTATGAAGTAGAAAGGGCTCCAGCCATGAAAGAGGTATAGAAGAAATACTCCAGTGCTTAGCCAGAGTAGCAGTTATTTCCCTCTGGAAGGTTCAGTGAAGGCATTGTGGAGAGGGTGGCATCTGGACTGGATCTAGAAGGTTTTTAAAAATTTATTACCTCATTTAATTCTTACAATAATTCTCCAAGGCACAGGTTTTTATCTTCATTTTACATGTGGGAAATTTGAGGCACAGAGAGGTAAAGGGATTGCCTAAGGTCACTCAGCTTAGTGGCAGAAACTAGACTCAAATTTAAGCCTCTTGTCTCCAAAATTGTTGCCCTTCCTACTGCACCACTCTACTTTGCGTATTTGTCACTTCCAGAAAACATTTTCCCAGGACACCTGATCCTATCTCTCTGCTCCTTCCTTTCACTGAATCTCATTCCAGACCCTCCATTTCAGGGACCATATCCTTGCCCCAGCCAGGGACTTACAGGTTCCCAAAAATCTGCCACCCCAAATTGTCTGCATCTGTTCCAAAGCAGATCTGGGAATGGTTGGATCTCTTTATTTTTTTAAGAGTTTATTTTTAAGTAATTTCTATACCCAATGTGGGGCTCAAACCTACAACCCCAAAATCTAGAGTCAAACACTCTACCAGCTGAGCCAGCCAGGTGCCTCTGGCTGGATCTCTTTTTTCTTTTTTTATAAAGATTTTATTTATTTGAGAGAGAGAGGGCATGCACGCACAAGGGAGGTGGGGCGGGCAGAGAAAGAAGGAGAAGCAGACTCTTGATCCCAGGACCCCAGGATCATGACCTAAGCTGAAGGCAGACACTTAACTGAGTGAGCCACCCAGGCACCCCCTGGCTGACTGGATCTCTTTGAGAAAAATCTCAAATCTCTAAGAGCTCAAGTTTTAAGAAATTTAGATCTTTGATTTATTCCTAACAGAAGTAGCATTTGAACTGAATCTTTTTTTTTTTAGGAGAGAGGGTGGGGGGAAGGGAAGAGGGAGAGGGGGAGGGAGAGAATCTTTTTTATTATTATTTTTTTAATTTGAGAGAGACAGAGATAGCAACAGAGATAGAGTGTGTGAGCGGGGAGAAGAGGGAGAAGCAGGCTCCCTGACATGGGGCTCCATCCCAGGACCCTGGGATCATGACCTGACCTGAGCCACCCAGGTGCCCCGGGAGAGAGAGAATCTTAAGCACACTCCATGCTCAGTGTGGAGCCCACTGGGGGGCTCTGTCTCACAACCCTGAGATCATGACTGAGCCAAAATCAAGAGTTGGGTGCTTAACCAACTGAGCCACCCAGGCGCCCCTGAACTGAATCTTAAAGCATGAGATTAACCAGGTAATGATGGAGAAGGCTATTTTAGGCCAAAGGAACAAAGGCAGGGAAGACTGAATGTGTTTGGAGAATAGAAAATGATTCTGTAAGCCTGATGGGCAGGGCTGACTGGAGCTAGAAAGGTTAGGACATGGGACTCCAGAGGCCTTCAAGAGCAGGCTCAGGTTGCTCAGTGGGAATCTGATTAGAAGACTGTTGCAGTATTCTAGGTGGGAGATGGTAAAAGATTTAATGAAAACAGTGAGAGATAGAGAAAATTACACTGGAACAGTTTTCCTGAGCTGGAATTGTCTTGACTCAGTGACCAGTTGATGGAATCCCATTTCACCTAGCATTATTTTTGTCAGACCTCTCTTTCTAAAGCACAGCTTGGGTCATGGCTTTCCCAGCTCAGATACCATCCATGGCTTTCAAGTTACCTACCAGGGGAAGTCTGAGCTCCTAGCCTGGCACTGAAAGCCTTCAAGAGCAGACACCATCCTTTCTGTCCAGCCTTATTGTCCCAAACTCCCAAACACACATCCTTCTCCTTCCTGGATCAGGTTGTTTCTTTACTGCACCAAATGTGCCCACTACTATGCCCTTAGTCCTGTGGCCCTTTTTGTTTGGAATGCTTATGCTTTACTAGCAAACTCAGTTCATCTCTTGAATATTATTTTCACAACATCTTGCCTAAAAACGTGAGCGCCCTCTTCCCTGAAATCTGTTAAAACAAACGACATTTCTAGTGAGCATTTAATATGTAGTAGGCACTACATTTATAACTTGATCCTCTCATCTGTCTATTAAAGTAGATGTTATTACTCCCAATTTACAGGGGAGAAAACTGAGGCTCAGAGGGTAGAGGAACATTCCCAGTCATAAGAGTGAGGGAAGACAGTCAGGATTCAAACCAGGTCTGTCTGTATCCAAAGGTGTTCTGTATAGTGTTCCACTGAGTTAGGACTGATTTGAACCAAAAACCTGGGCCTTGGTCTCCCTCTTCATTCAAAGGGCCAGCCCATTTCTGAAACAGGGGAGGGGCCTCCTGGGCCTCGGACTTAAGGTAGATGTAGGGTATGGTGGTCCTCCTGGTGGGCTCACAGGCCACATTGGGTGAGAGAACTATGCTGCCCCTTCTCAGCGCTTCTACTTCCTCACTTTCCTTGCTTGACTCTCAGGGAGATGGCCTCCTCACGAATATACAAGCTGGATAATGGGAAGCCTTACCTGAACAACTGCTTTCCAGCCAAAAATCTCCTTCGGATGCCAGACGAAGGTCAGGTGACTTCTCAAATTGATACCTTTGCTTAGTGGCTACATCCATTCCTTCCTCTCCAACCCATTTATTCCCACTACCCAACCCTGTCCCTTCCCATCCATCTTCCCTCAGCAGCCTCAGAGAGTTTTCTAAAGTGCACATTGAACCACAGTGTCCTATTCTGTTCAGTGACTTCTCATTGCTGACTCCTTTACCTGATACTCTGTGTTCACAGTCTAACCTCCCCTTATTCTTTGCCACAACCCCATTCCTTCACCTATGCCCTATTCCATAGTACTTTCTTTTCACATAGCTTGTTTTATTTGCCCAGAATATTCCGGCTATCATTCCAGTTATCCAAACTCTTTCCATGCCACAAAGCCCAGCTCTTTTTCCAATAAGTCCTGTCTAGCTACTCCAGCCGTCAGTGACCATACTCTTTTGTGAGCTGTCTTCCTCTCTCTGTTTCTTATTTGTTGAGTAATCATATTCTGCAGGATCCTAAATAAAATGGCTAAATAAAATGACTCTGCTAAATAGTTTTTCAAACATTCATCTAGTTAAAAACTCCCTTGGGGCAGGGACTTCTCACAACACTGAACAGAGCTCTACAGATGGAACGCTGCCGAGAAGTATGAGTTCACTGGATTAGATTTGTTGATTTGAAAGGGTAGAGCAAGGGGGAAATACCCCTTGTTTACTCTAGATGAAATGACTTGCTGGTTACTCTGTGGAATATTGGAAGAACTTTCTCCTCCAGTCCGTCCTCCCCACCTGTTTAAACCCTATCGTGGAGCTCTCAGTAGGAACTCATGATTTCATACCCACGCCCCCTTACACACACAGATGGACAACAGAAATAAATACAGCCATGTGCACCTGCATGTGTTAGTATATATATGTATATTTCCTAGTCCACTGAGTGCAATGACACCTCATTCACAAATAGCATACCTGGTCCCTAGATTTTGGTTTCTGGATACAATTCTCCAATAAAAAGAGCCAGGGCTCCTCAGAGAAATAGTTGTTTCCAGGTTTGAGGCCAGAAGAATACAAATTGCACCTGGAACATCGTATAGTGACAGGAAGTACAGAAGTGCTCAGAAAAATGATGAGTGCGTATCAGAAAGACATAGGAGCTAACCTGAAGGAGCTCCCTATGGCCAAAGCTGGGACAACCTAAACAACAAAATAAATAAAGGTAGAATTGGGTTGTAAACTATACAATAAATAAGTATCCGTGAGCCCATATTGATACAAATAAATATTTGAATATGTAAATAAGTGTAGGAGAAGGAACAACTCTTCCTACAGTAGAATTTCAGTTAATAAATGTAGAAGGAATGAAGGAAATAGAAAATCACCGTTAAAGCATCACAATAATAATTTTGACAGGTAAGAAGCTTCTGTAGATGTCGTATCAGGCTTCTCCAGCAAAATAGAACCAATAGGATATGTATTTATATCCTACTCATTCTGTTTCCATATTCATATGTGTGTACACACACACACACATTATCTGTTTTAAGGAATTGGCTTATGACATTATGGGGGCTGGCAAGACAAATCTATACGGCAGGTAGGCTGAGAACTCAGGAAACATCTGGTACTGTAGTCTTAAGGCAAAATTTTTTCCTCCTTTGAGAAACCTCAGTTTTTGCTTTTAAGTTTTTTCAACTGATTGGGTGAGGCCTGTACACATTATTGAGGATAGTCTCCTTTACCTAAAATCAACTGATTGTAGATGTTAACCATATCTATAAAATACCTTCACAGCAACACCTAGATTAGTGTTGGATTGAATAACTGCTTACCACAGCCTAGCCAAGTTGACATAAAATTAATCATCACAGATGCTAGAATTAGTGGGTCAAAGTATGATGAGAAAGAGGATATTCGCATAGTCTTAAAGTATCTTTATTAATTACAAAGGGAAAAAGTGACTTTTCAGTAGGGAAAGTAGGCCGACACCACCTTAACCAGGTGATCAAAATTAACATCACCAATCATCAGACATACTGACATCACCTGCTGTCTGATAGGATGCGCTGACAAGGGCACCGCATCAGTTCTTTGATAGTTTTGCCAAAGTACAGAGCCTTAATCTAATTATGGGAAAACATCAAACAAGTTCAGATTGAGGGACTTTCTATAAAATAATGGACTAGTACTCTTCAAAAGTGTCAAGATCATACAAGAAAAAAGGAAGACTGAAGAACTGTCACAGATTGGGGGATTCTAAGAAGACATGACAACTAAATAAAATGTGAGATCCCCCTGGAACAGAAAAGGGACATCAATGAGAAAACTAGCAAAATTCAAAGGGCTATGGATTAGTTACTAATATTGGACCAGTGTTAACTTACCACCTTAAGTCATATTATGATTATATAAGATATTAATATTGGGAGGGAAGTGGGAGGATGGGGTAACTGGGTGATACAGTATATGTTAATTTAAATTTTTAAAAATTTATAATAAAAGATGTTAGCATTAGGGGAACTGGGTGAAAGCTGTACAGGAACTCAGTATTATTTTCACAACTTTTCTGGAAGTCTAAACTTACCTCAAAATGAAAAATTACGGGGGAGAAAACGTTCCGATGGATACTCTTTGTGCTAAAAGCCTACCCCAGTAAACTCAAGGTCCTTGTTCTGGTCCTGTAGACTTTTTCTGATCTGACTCTGCTGACCTCCCCAGCCTCATCTCTTTTCCCTCACATTCATCTCCAGACAACAGTCGGGGCCTTACTTTCTCAACTTGTTGGGAGTTTGGGCACCAACTCACACTGGAGTCTCCAGGAGTCAGGGCTATTGGAATAGAACAAAGGTCCATGACCCAGATGGGGGCAACCCTGGGAAATGGAGTGTCTGGAATCTCAGGTCCAGAGTGGGAATGGGAAATGACTCACAGCAGACATAGGGTGGGAGTTGCATCCAGGAGTAAGGATTGGCAGCTGTGGTCAGGTGAGCCAGGGCAAGCCCCCAAGGCAGAGGTAGTGGGCTATGAAGGCAAGGAGCCAATGATCAGAGGCACCGAGCTGGCTCCAACAACTCTGTGCTGTTCTGTATCGTTCTGATATTTTATGCTTCTGGATACTTCTGGTGCTCTTCCGTCTGCCAAGGCTCCCTATTTTTTCCATGTCCATCTAGTCTACCTTAAACTTACTGGATCTAGCTCGTGCCCTAGGCTGGTAGCTCCCCTTTCTGTGCTTTCACAGCACCTCTTCTATTATTAGGCTCCTTTGAGTCAGGGCCTCCATCTTAATTCATCCCCATAGCCCTAGTTCCTAGCACAATGTAGATGCTCAGAAAATGCGCACAATATGGTAAGCTCTGTGAGGCCTTGGGACTACTGAGGTGGATCAATTGGACAAAATCTGCTCTGAGGGGCAAGACAATAAACAAGTGAAAAAACAAAATACTTACAGATTGCAATGAATGCCTTGGAGTAAAAAAACTGATGCAGGAGTGAACAGATTCTAGAATGTTGTCATGATTCTTGTTAGGTGAGCTTACTAGTAAACCTTATATTCTTTTTTGCTTACATAAATTTTCAAGTTCTTTCTACAGTGAACATGTATTGGATTTTTTAAAAGTTCCAACTGTCCTATCATTCTTACTGAGCTCCTAATACAACCTTTATGCTATAGTGATGGGATCCAGGATAAGGTCTAGCAAGATGGAGCCCGTTGAGTTGATGCCACTCATTTAGATGCCAAGAGATGACAAATGGGAGAGTAGTAAGCCGCATAGGAAAGAATAATCAGCTCTGCTGAGGAGAGTCAGAAAAGGCAGAATAGGAAATACTTGATTTGGGGTCTTGAAGGAACATTAGCGTTTGGAGACAAAAGTGTGGAGGAGAGAATTGGGCAAGTCATTCCACCTCTTTGAGTCTTAGCCTTTTCATCTGTAAAATGGGGACAGTAACATGTCCTTCACTGGGGTTTGGGGCCAATTAAAGGAGAGAGCTATGCAGACACCCCCCACCCCACCAGCAGCAGCTGCAGCTGCAGCAGCAGAACAGTATCTCATGCATATCAGGTAATGAGGAGCTATTTTTGGTTTTGGTATTATAGGTAAATATTCTGTAAGCACACAAGTTGTAGCTTTAGAGGGGTTTGCTCCTCCTCACTGTTCTGATCTTCTCAACAGGCCGAGGACACTGGTTAGTGGCTCGGAAATGTAACCTCAAGAAGAAGCCCAAGAGTGTGTTTGAGGCACCAGCTGAGGGTCAGGAAAGCCAGAAGAAGGTTTCTTCTGAGGTCCGGGGGAAGAAAGCGTTTCAACAGGAAAACCAAGAGGGCATTCCTGGACATGTGCTGGACCGGGCTTTTCTGGTGAGAGTAAATGTATCCTAGAATGGCTGGCAGAATCAGCTGATGACTGTCTTGGTTGGGGACAAGGACTTGCTCTGTTCCACTCTGATACCATGACCCCCAACCCACCCCCAAACTATTAGAGTGATCTTGGCTAATTGAGCACAGAGTGATGAAGGGACCCAAAGCTTTCTTTACATCCACCTTGTGAGATAGGTATTATTTTCCCTATTATGTTGTTGCCATTGTGAAGATGGGAAAACTGAGGCCCCGAAGAGGTAATTTGCCTTGGCCATGGTCCCACAGCTAATAATTAGAACTCTGTCTATTCAGGATTAGAACTAGTCAGGATGAGAACTCTGGTCTACTGACTCCAAAGCCTGTGCCTTTTAGTATATCAGGTAAAAAACTTTTAATTGAGCTGGAGAGGCAAAGGAGTAGGTCCAGGGAACAGTAAAGTGAAAATTCCATTCCTGCACCTGGTAGGGGGTAGAGATTCCTGTTCTCCTCTGGGGAGATTTTTCCAGGAATGGGAGAACTAGGGAGATTCTACACTCCACAACCTTTGTCCTTTGGTTTTAGTATCTGGCTAAAGTCTGGGGGAGCCGATCAGATAGTACCCAGTGTCTGGGGCAGGCTTCACAAAGAAGACTGGGGTGGCTGTATTGGAGACCAGCCAGGTAATTTCACATCTGCTCTTTTCAATGCCTCGGTGGCTTGGCAGAGAAAGACATATTTTGTAAATTCATATTAATGTCCAGTCCAGTTCGCATAGTTCCCTATGAAGAACTCTCTGGCATCCTGCTTTGTTCCCAGACTCTGCTTATGGTTCCCAAGAGGTGGCTTTCTACACAGATCAGACGTTGAAGGAGAGCTTTGAGAAGGCAGCTTTGAGGTAGCAACTCACTTCAAGTGGGTAGTGTAAGCTTTTTGCAGAGTCCCATGGTGTGTCCTTTGTTGTAATGTCCACTTCTCACTGGGGGTGCGGAGGACCGAAACAACAGTATTAAGGAAGGGCAGAAAACACTTACCATAGTCTTCTTTTCCCTTTTGTTTCCTACAACATATACATTCCCACATTAACGGAGATGGTTTGTCATCCACGTGTGGCTTTGTATACCAGAAGCAACAAGAGTGTTTCTCACAGTAATGGGATACCTGCTTACCTGCTGCATAGTTCCACTTGAATGTTTTATTGGCACCTCCTAGTGAACTACTGCACCAATCCCCTTACTCCAAGTCCCAAGGCATACCTCTTTTCTAGTGTTTACTATACTGCCTCAGTGATGGTGCTATATCCAGTCACCGGGCCAGTAATCTGGGGTTATTCTTGACACTTGCCTGTCCCTCACCACCCAACTACTGACACTACCAAGCCCTGGCACTTTTATTAAATAGTTGTCGAATCTATATTCTTTTCCTCATCTCCACTGCCTCTACCCTATTCTGGGCCACCATCATCTTTTATTAGAGTAATTCAGTAACTTCCTAACTAGTCTGAATCAACTAGGATGCTTTTATTTCATATAAAAAGAAGCCAGAGGCATTGTTTTTCCAGGGTAGGTTAATTTACTGTTAAAGGCCTAGGTTCCTTCATCTTTCTGCTCTATGTGCTTAGCATGATAACTTGTCTTCTTGGGCTAATTGCCTTCCTGATCCCAAGATGGCTGCAGCAACTCCGGTCATCACATATAAAGGATAATATCCAAAGGTACAAAAGGGATTGTCACTGTCTTATGTCTGTTTTTAAAAGTAAGAAAGAGCTCCCCAGAACTGGCCTCCTATCCCCAGCAGCCGGTGTCTGTCTGATTGGCCAGACCTATATCATATGTTCCAACAGTCATTAGTTAGGGGAACATAACCTCCAAGATTGGATTAGACTGCCAGGACTTATCCCTTGGAGCTGGGGCCTAAGGACACATCCACTCAGAAAAATGGAATAACGTTGGGGTTCTTTAATAAGGAAGTAGTAGAGAAGTTGCTTTAGGGAAGGTAATTAACAATGTCTGGTGTATTGGTCTCTTCTCATCCTTTCTATGTATATCAGACAAAGCAATTTTTATAAAATTGCTATCAGCTCTTGCCAAAAAAAAAAAAAAAAAGTCTGTTAGCTTTCCACTGACTGTAGAACAAAATCCACACTCCTTTACATAGCCAGTAGGGACCTAGGTGATTTAGTGGTTGCCTCCCTGGCCTTGTTGTTTTTCACCTTCTCAAAAACACCTGGCTTTTACCTGTCTTGATAGCTTTCACTGCCTGCCACCCACTTTCATGGGACCAACTCCTACTTAGCTTTTGGGTCTCACCTGAAATATTAGTTCCTCAACTAAATATTTCCTCTCCTCCCAAATGAGGTTAGGACCTCCTGTTATTGTCTCCCATAGCTTCTTGAATTTCTCCTTTAAAATATTTATCACATTTAGGGGTGCCTGGCTGGCTCAGTTGGTAGAGCATCCGACTCTTGATCTCGGGGCTATGAGTTCAAGCCCCACATTGGGTGTAGAGATTACTTAAAAATAAATAATAAATCTGTAAAAAATATTTATCACATTTATAAATACTTGTTTCCTACTTGGCTTCCATGTTGTTGTAAGTTCTATGAATAGAATATAATAAACACCTAATTCCATGCCTAAACATGATACCATAAATAAATGATAAACAGAAAAAAAAGAATGAGGTTTGGTTAAACAGAAATAGAAGCTCCAACACTGAGTTTTCCTTTAACTTTTTACTTATGAGGGGCAACATATGGTAGTCAAAAAGAGCACAGAGTTTAATGATAACACATTTGGATTCAAATCATCTATCACTTACTAGCTGTGGGAACTTCAGCAAGGCACTTTATCTCTCTTAACCTTATTTTTCTCATTTAAAAAGGAAAAATGATCATACTTATGTTAAAGAGTTTAGTTAGGATTAGAAGAAAATGTATTGATGTATTTAGCACAATACATGGCCCAAAGCAATACTTAGTAAATATTTAGTGAATAAAAAGAGAACAAACGAATGAACAAGCAAATTATTATAAACATGAAGAGATTGGTAAGGCTCCAGAAATACAGATTTTTTAAAGAGCCAGGTAGAAGAAGCGGGGCTCAGAAAAGACAGAGAAGGAACAGAGAGGAAGGAATCCTCCTACGAACCCTGTCAAGTCAGTGTTACTATCCCCATCGTGCCCCTGGGAAGCTGAGAGGTGGAAGAGCTGAGGTGGCAGCTCTATTCTGAGTGACTCCCAAAGCCCATGCTCTTTGCGCTGTACTAGTCCCCCTTTCTCAACAGGGAGTCATTTGTTGTCTTGGCCAATTATACAAACTTTCTTGGGGCCTTGAGACCTGACTCTCTGCACTGTGTTCCAGCTGAAGCACCATTGTGTGAGGAAGCCATCAGACCTGGTCAACATTAATGTGAGCGGCCTGAAGTTCTCCAAGGTAGGGCCAGCCAGCAGAGATGTGATTGGGTTGAGCCAGACCTGAGGTGGCTCCTGGCTGTTTGTCCATTGTACCTCCGGAGTCCCTGAGGACTGGGGGGATGGGGTGGGGGGGCGTTAGACAAAGCTTCACTGGGTAGAAACAACATGCAGACACAATATTTTGCTGTGAATTTGCTATTGCCATTGGTTCATGTGAGGTGAATTAAAGGAAGTAGCACTATGGGAGTTGGTTTGAATTTGTCATAGACTTCTGCTGGGGTGACACTGAGTTCCCATTAGAAGAGCCTATAGGAGTAATTTCTCTCAAGTTTCAGTGTCAGGAGTGGTAATGGTTCTCCCAAGATGCTGGTTTGTTCTTATACACACTGGGTGACTCATGTAATGAGTCATGTTTCTTTCTTACATTGGCTAATAGGTAGCTTGAGCCACATTTGTGGCCCCCCCATTAGCAAATATATATGCAGGATATTATGCCATATGTTTTTGGTTTATAGGCCTTCCATGGCATATGAAGAGAGATTGGTGGTATAAAATATACAGCAATTAAAATAAATAAATCAGTACCACAAGTAACATAACGTAAGTAAATCTCAAAAGATCTAGGTGTATCAACACAAGTAAATCTCAAAAACATAGTGTTGAGTGGAAAAGGCGGGTTGCAGAATGACAGTATGATTGCATCTAATAAAGAGTTTTAAAACTTACAAATAATATTATATATAGTTTATAGATACACATATATAGAATACAGGTATAAAACAAGTATGAGAATGATAATCACCAGTTCAAGATAGCTGTTATCTGTGAAAGGGGGAAAAGAATACAATTGGGGAAGATTGTGGGGATGGGGGGGCGTGGTCAACTCTTTAGTATTTTATTTTTTTAAGGAAATTTGAAGCGGAGACAGCAAAATCTTCATATAAAGGTGGACAGTGGTTACGTGGGTCTTCAGAGTATCGTTCACTAAACTTTTCTGTACATTTGAACTATTTCATAATAGAAAAAAAGCAGCAGAAAAGCCATTCTGGCCCTTAGCAAGTGGGTGTACTTTGCTAAGAATATAGCTTATCCCTGTAGGTCTTTGTGCCTTCTGACAGCAGCTCTGGAGCTTTGGCAAGGCCTCCGGGCAGGGCACTAATCTTGTGTTCTTTTGAAATGCTTTCCCACAGGCTAAAGAAAAGGACTTCAGGCATTTTCATTCGGTGATTTACATCAATGCCTCAGAAAACCTGCTTCCTCTAGGTAAGCTTCTCAGCCAGCACAGCCAGTCACTCCTGTTAGAACTTGCCTGTCAGTCCATTCATGACTGGCTGCTCATCTCTTTTTTAGAGTGCCGTAGGCTGGGTGCCGGAGAACGCCCAGTCCAGGATTTTGGCCCAGAGCTGGCACTACCTACTTAGAGTGTTTCTCTCTGAGATGCTGCTTCTCTGTCTGTAAATGGAGAGAGTTCCCTTCCTTTCTTCCTCCCCAAGGCAGGATGCCTAGTAGGCTGAGATGAGAGAGGTATATGAAATTGTTTTTAAGCCTGTAAGAGCTCCTACAGGAGCATAATGTCTTCTCGTTTATTCAGCAAGTCCACAGCGACCCCTGCTGGTTGTCAGGACTATGTGCATGCTTGGCTTTTAGAAACGCATTAGTGCCTGTTTTGGTGAGCTCATAGTTTGGTGGGAAAGATGGGTTCAGACACAGACAATTATAGCAGAATACGGTAAGTGCAGTGATAGAGGGAATCATAAAATGCTATGCAAGCATATAAGTGGGACACCAACCCAGACCAGAGTGTCAGGAGACACTTCTGAGGAGAGGGACACCTAGCTGAGACCGAAAAAATGAACAGGAATTAGAAGGTATTTCAGTCCAGCGGAGCAGATGTGGGACAGCAGTGCCTGATCAGGACACTGAAGAGGGCTCTGTATGTTTGCATGGGATGTGAATAGGGGAAAATGGAGACCAGAAAGGCTGGCAGGGACTAGAGTATCAAGGGCCCTGACTTGTTACTAATCCTGCAGGCAAAAGAGAGCCTTGAAAGGCTTTTAAGTAGAGAATTTCAGTGGGGGCCGTGAGGAAGGTGAATGATAAGAGAAGTGGGGACCAGGAAACCTGGGAGATGATTTCATTTTTCCCAGGGGCGGGGTAGGGAAGCCTGAGCCAGGCAGTAGGGGTGAGGGTCATTGCAAGAGAGATTCAGGAGGAGGTAGAAATAACAGGACTTGGTAGCTGATGGAGCCAAGGGCATTCACTGCAAACAGCACTAGAGTTTGGGGAGAAATAAGATGAGTTCAGTTTTTAGTGGTTAAGGTTGAGGGGTGTTTTTAAAGAAGCTTGTGACACAGTCCCTTCCCTTGAGGAAACAGTACAGTCTGTCAGGAAGGTGGGCTTGAAATACAAAGGCCAATAGGCATATGAAAAGATGTTCAACCTCACTAATAATTAAAACAGCATCAAAATCCTATTTTTTGCCTGTGAAATACTGGCAAACGTGAGAAGGACCGATTGATGACAGCCAGCATTGATGGGGAAACGGATGTTCTCACATTCAACGGGCAGAAGTGTAATAAATTGATGCAACGTCTTTGGAAGACAGTTTGGCAATGTCTGTTAAAATAGTTATTGCCTTTAATCTAGTAGTTTCCCTTTCAGGAATTGATTCTACAAAAACACACTTGTATGAGGACGTTCATTGGAAACATCCTGAAATACCTACCAAACAGTCTTTTTCATGGGCTCTACTGAACATTCTGACTCCCAAGACCACCATAGGCCCCACTTGACACCAGAAAGCTCTGTCATTCCACACAGTATACCTGCAGCACAACATCTGCAGTTTCTCTTCAGAGGAGTCCTCACAGCAGTGCCTGTAGCAGCAGTCCATGCAGCCGTTTGTGGGCCATTCTCTGCAGCCCCCTGCTCAGGTCCAAGACAATAAGACTGTCCTTCAGTAGATATAGGAGCCACTCTGGCTTAGAAGGCTCATTCCCCACAGAAGCAAATAGCTATTGTAACACTCCATAGACATAGCTCCCAGAGTCCCGGCAAAGGACATGACTAATTATGGGAGTCACCACACACGGGGAAGCCCAAAGTTATGGCACCCCTTCAGATGTTTGTAGTTCATTTAGAGTTTCCCCTAGTCCAGATGTGACTTGCCAGTCTGGCATCATTTTTACCATAATAATATTGCCTAACTATGGTAGCATACCGTCTGTTTCAGATTACCAGGGAAAGGGGCTAGAAAGTTAACCCAAAGTCCAATTCTCATGCAGAAGAGAAGTGTTCTTACTTTTTATCCAGATAGCCCAAAGGCTATCAATAGGGGAATGGTTAAATAAATTAGGGTATGTCTATAATATAGAACATAACTCAGACATTATGCAGATCCTTATGTTTTGACATGGAACAAGCTTTTTTTTAGATTTATTTATTTATTTGAGAGAGACAGAGGAAGCACAGGGTAGAGGTGGGGAGGGACAGAGGGAGAGGGAGAGCAGAGTCAAGCAGACTCTGCACTTAGCGTGGAGCCTGATGCAGGGCTTGATACAGGGCTCAAAGCAGGGTTCAAAGCGGGGCTCAAAGTGGGGCTCAACTTGTGCTCAATCTCAAAATCCTAAGATTACAACTTGAGCCGAAACCAAGAGTTAGACACTCAACCAACTGCACCACCCAGGCACCCCAACATGGAACAATCTTTAAGTCATATTGTTAAGGGAAAAAGGCAAATCACAGTACGATATGTATGGTGTGATTCCATTTGTGTAAAAAGATGTGTGTGTGTTTCACTGTACACGTGAGAAGAATTCTGGAGTATTATACATGAAATTTTCAATGGTTATGTCTGGGTGTTGAGATTAAAGGGAACTTTTGTTTTTCTGTATTTTTTAACTTTTTTTGGTAGGCATGTTTTACTTTTATAATAAGGAATAACAAAGATAATTTTTAAATGGGCTTTGGAGTTAGACATAGATTCAATTCTTGGCTCTTTCACTTCCCAGCAATTCCATTTCTAGCAAATCACTTATCCTAGCCGAGCTTCAATTTCCTCAGCAGTAGAATGAGAGTAGTAATCCCTATTGTTCAGGGTTGTTAGAGATTTAGAGGCCATGTGTACAAAGCATCTGACCATAAGCTTGGCCTAACCCAGTGGGAACCCAGTAAATGACCACCGTTAACATCTTTCTCTTACATCCTTCACAAGTAGCTGATTCTCTCTTTCTCCTCTCCTGTAGAGGCATTTCATACATTTCCAACCTTAAAGGAACTGGAGCTTGCATTTAATGGAATCAAAACAGTCTATGTGAAATATGGAGACTTTAAGTTCTTGGAAGTAAGTTGGAGGTAGGGAGTTTTTGGTGCCCACCTGTTTCCCTGTAAAAAATGGGTATAGAGGTCTCTACTGATTATAACTGTTGGGAAGGAACTCTCTGAGCCTTTACAGCCAGACTCCTGCTTCACAGCAGCCCTCTGCAGAGGGTGGTGGGGTTGGTGGTGATGATGAGGGTAGTGGTTGTGAGTAGCAGCAGTGGCAAATAGGTGAGACTGTATCACACCTATGGCCATTGTACATGGTCCTGGAGAATAAATGCCAAACATCATTCCAAAGGAGTCTGTGCAGAAAATTGAGTTTAAACGGAGTACTTTAGGAAGGAGAGTTTGAGGGGAGATCTGGATCCAGTGGGGGTTGAGGAGCCTTGGAGATTAAGTGCGAGGCACAGCAGATCAGACCAGCTGAACTAGAGGCATTATGGACTGATGCCAGAGACCCATCGTGGTCCAAATGAGCCAGATTGGCTCCAGTGGGCTCAGGTAAGGGAGGCTAAAGGCCTAGTCTATAGGCCCAGAGGTGACTGTGAAATAAGATAGGAATCCTATGTGTTCCATAGCACACTCCTGACATTTGTACATCCATAGCTGTTCTCCAAACCCCAGATTCAAAAATACGGAAAAATTTGTTTGCATTCTAGGCTTTCTCCTAAATTAAGTTTCCTATAGTGATGCATTTTCTATGCATCTTCTCATACTTCAAGTTAATCACCTCTTCAACTTCCATGAAAACTTTAGGGCCATTTTTCACAAAGCAGCAAAGCTTTTGCCACTCCCTGAAAGGCAGTGCATGCATGGAGATTAGAGTTGGAGCAAGGTTGTGGGGCCAGGCATCTGGCCAGGCTCATTCACTGGGTAAGGGGCTCTTCCCCAGGTGTTGGCCTTATAGTACAAGTGTTTTAGATTCAAACATTCAGCAGAATGTCTGTGCGTCATAAGCCTTGGGGTTGACCGCAAAGAGTTGGTAACTTAAATTATTTATCTGCCAACATCAAGGGCATCAAGGGTCAGCCACTCTTCACAAAAGCCTCACTTAACTTAGTCTTGCCAGAGAGAGAGAGGGTTCTTCCACAAGAATGAATCTTTCAGACTTGATGGCCTTTGTATGCCAAAGTTTTAAAAAGCTTTAACTGCTTGGGGTGGCAATCTTCTAAAATGGATTATATGTCCTTTTGTTCTTAAAACATGATATCCTAGATGTAATGGTAACTTCTCTCCGTGGTTTCAAGTCATATTGAGGATAGGGGTGACTTACTATGATTTGGAACAGGAGTTGTCCTCAGATTTGTCCAATAAGCAGAGCCCTTGAAAGTCCAATAAAATAGAGTATAAACTGACAACAACTGGTGTAATTTTTTGCTATGTTAAAAAAATTTTTATGCTAGATTTTAATATAAACAGTGGGAAACAGATTCCAGATGCTAGAGATACAGGTAGCCATTTCCTTTACCTACAGGCCTGGGAGCTTCTTATGAACTTCCATTTTTTTGTTATTTTACTTTTTAAAAAAATAGTTATTTGTGTTATGCATTGTCATGCATTGTGCCAGGCATCTTGTCTTCCTCACCAGTACTATTTGAAATCCCGATTTCAAGTGTCCGTGGGCCCTGGGGAGGGGACATGACTCTGACCCCACAGCTGACTAGCTTGGATCTACTGATTGATTATGATTGACTTAGATGCCCTACTTCTTAGTTTGATAGCTTCTGATAAAGATTATTTATCAGGCAGACCCAGCCTTACCCAGGGGAATTTATTTACATAAGAGAGCAGACCAAAGTCAAGATGCTGAATATAAATGAGAAGAGGAAATCTCTTGGCTAATCATTGGTTTCTATCTCTGTGATTTACAAGGTCTCTCTAAGAAAAAGCATAAAACTGTCAAAAGTCCTGAATTTGCAGTTCACAGTAATGAATACTTTGATGTATAATAAAACTTGATATGACTCAGCAGATGCAGTAGGTTAGGAATCTTCTGTTCTGTTCTGTTCTTGTTTGCCAGAAAGGCTGCCACCCAAGGAGCAGAATTCTTCAGTCAGTTTAGAAAAACTTAACTTTGCCATGATTTGATTTTCTGCATACCGGTCTGAAAAAGGCTCTGCTGGAGCCCTGCCCTGAGAGTTAGAAGACCTTGTTTCTTGTCTTGGTTCTGCCACTATTTTGACATAGCTCCTTGGCGAAATCACTTCCCTTCTCTGGGACTTAAGTATACCCCTCTTCAAATTCTGGGTCAGCTCTGAAGTTCTGTGACCTGTGATTCTAAGGCTATTCATTTCTTTGAGCTGCCCTTAATTCTGTGGAGAGCAAAATTGGCCCCAACATTAAGTAGCCAAATCAGCGAGGACAAGAGTCAGCAAACTTCTTCTGTAAAGTGAATATTTTAAGCTTTGGGGTCTGTATGGTCATAACTAGTCACAACTGTCATAACAAGTCAACTCTGCTGTTATAGAAGGAAAGCAGCCATAAATACTACATAAAAAAATGAGCATGGTTGTGTTCTAATAAAACTTTATGATGCTGGAATTTGAATTTCACATAATTTTCACACAGCAATCTTCATTTGATCTTTTTTCAACCATTTAAAAGTGCAAAAATTATTCTTAGCCCACGGGCCGTACAAAACAGGCGGCAGGATGGAAATGGCTGAGAGGTGTTAGTTTACTAGCTCCCAAGCTAGCACACTGATGCAACAGCTCAGTGTGGTTGGCATGGAAAGTGAAACACAGCAGAGTAGTGATAGATAAGCCCGGAGAGGTAGCAGAAGAGAGACTGTAGGAAGCCTTGGAGGCCTCACTAAGGAGTTTGAAGTATCCAGTGGATGATTGGTATGGCCACTACATGAATCATGAGCTGGAGGGAACAGAATGAGAGATATTAAGGAGACAGAATCCATAGGTCTTATTGACTGCCCACATATGGGTATGAAGGAGAGGATTTTCCCACCTTTATCTACGATTATCTGAGCCAGCTTTCTATGTCTTCCTCCTTGAAGACTTCTCTCTTTGCCCCTGCCAAGTGGAATCACCCCTTTGTGTGAACTCTCAAAACTTGGAATTTGCTGATGGCAGCATGAACTCAGCACTTCTTTGGTGCTTGGCACCTTTCACGGCCTGCCCAGTCTTATCAAACCCTTTGTTAAACCACGGACTCTAGTCATACCCAAGCTATTTGCAGTTCTTAGAACAAGGTAGGCTACCTCCTGTCTCCCGGCTGCACTGCCTCTTTTTGCCTTTAACAATTTGGTGAATACCAACTAGTCTCTGAAGACAGCTCAAGCGTCACCTGCTCCGTGAAGCCTGCTGGATCCTCTGGTAGAGCTGACTGTTCCTTTCTTTGTGCTTCCATTGGTCTGTGTTCAAACCTCTATCCCAGCAGCATTGCTACTTAGTAGCTGACCAGCTAGGTTGTGAGCTAACAGAGGACAGACTGGTACAGAGTAAGCCTTCAGCACACATCCCTGAATGAAGAGATGGTTATAACGATGACAGCCAACATTAACTAAGCACTTACTATGTTACATAATTTCTCATAATAATACATTATTATTTTTATTTTATAGAAGCTCAGGTTAGGTGATTTGCCCAAATCACACATTTGGATAGTATTTAAACTCAGATCTACAGAATCCATCAATTGATTACTACAGTGGAGTCAGACCAAATTCAGTCTCCTCTGGCAGTGACCTAGAGCCACTTGGTTATAGTCTGACTATGTAACACTGATATGGTCAACCAGCTGGGTAAGATGCTGAAATGCCCCCATTCAATAGGCTTCAATGACTGTGTGTGGAGAGAAGGGGAGGAAAGGAAGCAGACTTACACATAAGAGCTAAAGTGAGTGTGTAGAGAGGCCCAAAAGAGAAAGAACAAAGATTGGGTTTTATATCATTTATCCCAGGTGTCTTTGTCTTTGCAGACAGAAACTCAGTTTCCTGACTGGCCCCTGACCCAGTGAACTATTTCATGAATCTAGGTGGCCAGTTAGGAAGTGGTTGATAGTGATAGTTTCGGTCATTGCCCTCATAAGCCAGTTCATTTCAGCTGATTTTTTATATGCACCTACTATGTACCAGGTCCTATGCTAGGTTACAAGGGTATAGTGATACAGTAGTATGGCCCTTGACCAGGGAGTTTATGGTCTAGCTTACCTCTGTGTGCCAAGACTATGCTAGGCACATCCATGTACCAACATCCCTATTCCTCAGATGTATATCTACCTATCAGATACCTAGTTGACCATAAGAACTTTCCCTAGAAAAAGCACTCAAATTCAGGGGAGAGAGAGAGATTCCATCTGGTTGGTGAATTAGGAAAAGTTTTATAAGGAGGCAACTTTTGAGTTGGCCTTCTGGGGCTTAGATTCAGATACATGGAAAGGGAAAAGCTCCCCTGTTTGAGTAAAAAGCTCAAGCAAAGATCTCTAGGTGGGGTGGTGCAGGGAATGGGGAAGGAGTCACTTTGGTCAGCTCCACAGGATAAATCAAGATTTGCAGTGGGAGCTAAAGCTAGCAAATAGGCCGGGAACTGACTATAGTAGGCCTTGAATGTTAATCCAGAGAGAGTCAAGGTTTTAGGTTTATGAGTGATGGGGTTGCCTAGAAGGTTAAAAAAAATAGTTAGCTCCCACCTCATGTATGAGCATCATTGTCATGTGTAGTGCTTCCGTTCTCCCATCTTTTATCTTTGTACATAGTTCCTGGACCTTTCCTTCAACAGCCTGACTGCAGAGGCCATTTGTGATCTGGGGATTCTGCCACACCTCCGTGTCCTGCTCCTCACAGGCAATGGGCTCACCTCCCTGCCACCCAATTTGGCTGTCACAGAACAGTAAGTTCTACATCCTAGGATCCATCCCATTGTTCCCTCATGAACCTTTGGGTGCAAGTATGCAAGGAAATAGCCCAGAGCAGCTCAGAAGTGCTATAAAGACAGTCTGTGAGTGCTCAAAGCAGGGAAAATGCTGCCTACTGAAGCTCCTAGGAAAGGCAGTCATGGGAGTGGGGCCCCAAAGAATGATTAGGCCTCAGATGGGTGTCTTCACACTCTTCTATGCTGTTAGGAGACATTCAGGTATCTAGTAAGTCACTTTCCCTGTCTCTGATTGGTCATTGGTAAATTGTGGATATTGCTTTTGCCAGACTCTTCCTCTTCACAAACCTACTAAGCTTTGTATGTTCCCATTCTGCACCTTGGTTCAGGCTATGCCTTCTGACCAGAATGTATAATAATGCTAATGCCATATACATAGTGCTTACTATGTGCCAGACACTGTTCTCAGCACGTTATACATATTAACTCATTTAATCCTCAAAACAGCCCTATGAAGGAGGTGTCCTGTTATTATCCATGTTTTATAGATGAGAAAATGAGGCACAGATATGTTAAATAACTGGTGATAAGTGACTGAGTCAGAATTTAATGAGGTCCATCTGACTCCAAAGACCATGCTTATGACCAATACATTCTCCTCTTATGTGGATTCTGCATGTATTCCAAGGGCCTGCTCAGACCCTTCTCCTTTCCCTATCAGAAGCCTTCCCTGACTGCTTTAGACCATACTTCTTCCTCCCTTCTCTAAGCATCTGTTGAATTTAATGTTTTCCCTCTTACTTTAGAAGTTTATATATTCTATTGTGACTTAGGTCTCACAAATATGTACGTATATGTAAATAATAGATAAATTGATGATATACATATAGTCTCCCAAAAGGATTGTGAGCACTATGAGGGCAGAGGCTCTGTCTTAGTCATCTTTGATCTGAAGCACCTGGATGAGGATCCAGTGCTTTTGCATGTAGATATTCAAGGGATGTTAGCCAATTTAGAGATGGTGAAGGCGAAAGTCATGGTGATAATGTTTGTTGTGATGATGGCAGATGTGATGGAGTTTATAGTGATGACAGTGGTTGGTTAGTTACCCAAGGGGCTTGGATAATAGTAATGATCATTATGTTAGGGATTTCATTAGGCTCCTTTTGTTTGCAAGTGACAGAAGTCAACTCAAACTAGCTCAACCAGAAAGGGAATTTATGGGGCACCTGGGTGGCTCAGTCGGTTGAGCATCCAACTCTTGGTTTTGGCACTTGGGGTCATGGGATCAAGCCCACATTGGGGTCTGCACTCAGTGGGGAGTCTGCTTGAGGATTCACTCCCTCTCTCTCTGCCTCTCCCTCCATTAGCATGTGTGCTCTTTCTCTCTCTCTAAAATAAATAAATAAGTCTTTAAAGAAAAAAAAAGGGTATTTATTGGCTCACATACCTGTAAAGTCCTAAGGTGAACGCTGGATCACATATGGCTGGATGCAGGTGCACAGGCTGTTGTCAGGGCTCCGCATGCATCTCAGTGTATTTCTTGAGCATGCGTGTAACCTCTGTCTCGTCTTTCTCTCACTCGCTTTCTCAAGCACGTGCACACATCTTTTTTTTTTCCCTTGGTGTTGGCTTCATCTTAGGCAGGCTTTCTCTATGACCAGACACACATCAGTCAGGGTCTAGTCAGGAATATAAAAACCACTTGAGGTATTGCCAATTGAGGGGATTTAATTGTTTTTCATGGGAAGATAATAGTTGGCATTTTATTATGGAAAATTTCAAACACACATAGAAGTAGTGTCAATGGCAAAATGAACTTCCATGTACCCATCACCTAACGATTATTGCTCAACAGTTCTGAGGTCACAACCAATCCTGTTTCATCTATACCCTCCCACGCCCAACCTTATTCTTTTTTTTTTTAAGCTTTTATTTATTTGACAGAGCGAGCAAGAGAGCACAAGCAGGGTGAATGCCAGAGGGAGAGGGAGAAGTAGGCTCCCCGCTGAGCAGAGAGCCCAACATGGGGCTCAATCCCAGGACCCTGGGATTGTGACTTGAGCTGAAGGCCGACGCTTAACCAACTGAGCCACCCAGGCACCCCACTTTAAATTATTCTTCAGAAAAATCTCAGACATATCCAGCCATAAATGAATACAGCAGATTCATGTAGTTTCATCTGTAAATAATCCAGTGCATACCTCTAAAAGATAAGGACTCTTGAAAACAATCAGAGTACCTTTATTCCACCTAAATATTAGCAACAATAAATAGAGGGAATTGGTTACATAGGCAGTGGAAGGGCTGGAAAAGCAAGAAGGAAGAAGGTTGATACCCAGAGATCAGATGCCCCCACACTCCTGGACTGGGGCCCACAAGCCTGTCCCTACTGCTGGGCTTTTAGAGAGGTTGTTGCTATAGTTCTAGACCTGCTGTAGATGTGCTGCCTCAATCAGGGCTGGAACCTCCACCAGCACGGATGCTGGTGCTGCACTGGTGCCGCCAGCAAGCTGTCAGTAACAAATGAGAGCGTTGCTTCTCCCCTGTTCTGGCCTTCCAGTCTCACCAGTCCCTCCCTTGGCAGTATCTCACTGGAAGCCAAATGGAAAGTGGTCTAGGAAGTGTAGCTTAGGGGTGGCCCCTAATAATAGCTAGCAGAACACAGAGGAAAGGAATAAAGTTCAAGAGCAAATAGGCAGATGACTGGTGCCACCCAACCCTTGGAAACCCAACATCTACTGTCCTCTTTCTCTCCATATTTAATTTCCTTACAGCACGAGCAACCACAATATGCTTTCATTTTATTTTACTTATTTTTTTTAAAGATTTTATTTATTTATTTGAGAGAGAGAATGAGAGAGAGAGCATGAGAGGGGGGAGGGTCAGAGGGAGAAGCAGACTCCCCGCTGAGCAGGGAGCCCAATGCGGGACTCAATCCCGGGACTCCAGGATCATGACCCGAGCCGAAGGCAGTCACTTAACCAACTGAGCCACAAGGAACTTTATCTCTCCCACGAAGATACTTTCACCCTCTTCTATAAAGGGATGAGACACCTTCTATTGGGTCACTGTATCCATTTCTGGATGATATTATTTTCTCTTCTAAAGCAGTCACCGTGCCAAGTGGATATTTTATAACCTAAAAACTAAGTTGCAAAGTCATTCACCACTAGCAGTTTACACACACACAACAAACAGGGAAGAAAATATGCATATTTGCTATAATAATCTTTTTTTTTCTTTTAGGATTTTATTTATTTATTTGAGAAAGAGAGAATGAGAGAGAGCACAAGAGGGGGGAGGATCAGAGGGAGAAGCAGACTCCCCGCTGAGCAGGGAGCCCGATGCAGGACTCGATCTGGGAACTCCAGGATCATGACCTGAGCCGAAGGCAGTTGCTTAACAACCTGAGCCACCCAGGCGCCCCTACAATAATCTTTTCTTAACTGGTCAGGAGGCCATAGTACATATTTATGAATCCTTCCTCCATCGCCTACTTAATGTTTCCTTCTCCCTTATCTAGCACCTTGGCTGTTTGGGCTCTTTAACTGGTGTGATATACTAAATGATCATTCCTAGAGGATCAGAGTTATGAACGCTTTTTTATTGGGTTGTGGTAGTCTTCTATTAATGCTTTTTAAAATTGTGGTATCATACACGTAACATAAAATTTACAATCTTAACCATTTAAAAAAATTTTTTAAAAATAATCTCTATACCCAACATGGGGCTCAAACTCATGACCCGGAGATCAAGAGTCAGGTGTTCTACTGACTGAACCAGCCAGGCGCCCCCTATCTTAACCATTTTTTTTTACTTTAAATTTTTTATTGTTATGTTAATCACCATACATCACATCATTAGTTTTTGATGTAAGTGTTTCATGATTCATTGTTTGTGCATAACACCCAGTGCTCCACGCAGAACGTGCCCTCTTTAATACCCATCACCAGGCTAACCCATCCCCCCGCCCCCCTCCCCTCTAGAACCCTGTTTGTTTTTCAGAGTCCATCGTCTCTTATGGTTCGTCTCCCCCTCCGATTTACTCCCCTTCATTCTTCCCCTCCTGCTATCTTAACCATTTTTAAATGTACAGTGGCATTCACATAAGTACCTTCACATTATTGTCCTACCATCACCACCATCCGTCTTCAGAACTCTTTTCATCTTGCAAAAATTCCATTAACTTTGACTAATGGACATGACACTTCTAGGAGGAACACCTTATAATTCCCTGGATTCCAGTCATATTTCTTTTTGTCCTCAAGGTGTAACAGCAATCATATCTACTTTTGATAATCAGTATCAATCACCCAGCTAATATAGTAAGCTCCTCTTTTTCTGCCTATTGGTTTAGTGGATTGAGGAACCCAAGTGGCCAGTAGCAACTAGTTAAAAGAAACTATTCTTTGTGTCCCCTGTAAAAGTATTCCTCCATAGGCAACTAAGACCTCTACTTGCAGGAATGGAGGCAAAAATTCTGCAAGTGGATGATTGTAAGAGGATCTGTTCTCATTTCCTTCCATTAATTCCTAGATCCTAAGTTCTGGTTATGAGAAAAACAGCATCAGTATTGGTTGCTGGTTTATGTGAAACCTTATCCTATAAGTAGTCAGAGCCCCAACTTCACAGGGAGTAGTCTCCTAACTGGTGTAATAAATAAGTTGTTAAAAAACAACTTTACCTTTCTGTTAGATCAGCTACTTCTACATGATGGGGTATATGGTAAAAAAAAAAAAGTGAATTCCATGTTTATGGGCTCATTATTGCACTTATGTGCTATCAAATGTGTTCCACGGTTCGCAGCAATGTTATGTGAGTTACCAGGATAAAGAATAAGACATTCTGTAAGTCCCCAGATGCTGGCAGAATATCAGGGAATGTAAATCCATATCCAAAATAAATGTTTATTCTGTAAGCAAAAAAAAAAAAATCACTGCTCCTCTTATGAAGGAAGATGCCCACTATAGTCATCCTCCCACTAACTAGATGGATGGCTAATTTTTTCAGAAATG